TGGGGAATGCCGTTTGCAGGGGCATAAAGGTCAAACTTTTCCCTTTAACTTAAAAAAAAACGAGTCTCTGCAATTTTTTTTCTTAAAAATTACCCTTGCATTTTTTACATATACTACCCCGACATTACCTACATTACCGGATATGCACTACGAGGTTGCTAGATTTTCCACGTTTCTGGGTATGTAGATTTTGCATATCGTGTTTCTGCGTGTAAATTTTAATAACGCGTGTTTCCTCTGTATTGCTCAATTATTGCTTGCAGTCGATTCCTCGTATTAATGCAGGCTCTAATTTCTTCCTGCGGAATGTCATTCCAGATTTGTACTAGATAATGGGTCATAGATTAAAAAATTTGGCAAAACAACCTGTCAATCTCAAAGACTTATTACAAGCTCTAGTACAAATCTGGAACAACATTCCGCAGGAAGAAATTAGGGCCTGCAGTAATATGAGGAATTGACTGCAAGCAGTAATCGAGCAACACAGAGGTAACACACGTTATTAAAATTTACACACAGAAACACGATGTGCAAAATCCATCCAACAACCTCGTCGTGGTACATTTTGTATATTGTGGTGCGTATCTGGTCATGGGGGGGGGGGGGGTATTGTCGGGATATTATATGTCAAAAATGCAAGTATAACTTTAAGTGCTGTAACTTTGCGAAAACATCGCAGAGGCTCGTTTTTTTTTTAAATTAAAAGGAAAAGTTCGAACTTTATGCAGCTGCAAATGGCAACATTCCTAAAAAAATTTTACAAAGTCCATGCATTCCGTTGAACTTTGCAATTTTCAATATAACAAACACACCCTCATATTTTTGAGAGTTCCAGTAGCAGGGGTGTATCAAACTTAAAATCCGCCATAGCGTCTTAAAATAGAAATTTCAAACTTTAATTTAAAAAAAAAAAGTTATTCTACGATAATTTTTCGCAAAATTATTGTTAGTCAAAATTGGTCAATTTTTGCCCACAATTGTTCTATGCCATAATTTTTTTGAGCGATGTATTATATTCATATGAAAGAGACATCAAGCTTTTTATTGAAGATGTGAAATAATAATTTACAATGAGGTTTTCTTTGATATAAAATAATTATAAGAAAAAATGTAGTGATATTGATGCAAAAGGAATAATTTAGCTTGGATTACTTTTAAGAACAATGCATCATTTACAAAATTCTAGTCGTGAACATAGAGCCAAGAAAATCGTTTCAAATTCGATGCTTTAGGCATCGACTCTTTTTTAGGGAAACAATACGAGTGATTCACAAAAGCAACCTGCTGATACAAAGGTGGCCCGTATATATATGCGGATAGGACCGTTTGTCACTACAGGTGCGCAGTTTTCCGTTTACAGGTGTAGTGCATCGCGCGAGTTGTCTATTTGTGCGCGGATGCATCAGACCAATGACAAACCGTGTACTCGCTTGTTGTCCGTCAAGTTGAAACAAGAAGAGATGAGGTAATAACAGGAAAAAAAGGAAAAGAAAAGCTTTTTCACTCCGTGAGTCTTGTACAGTAGAAAGAAACTGCTACATCCGCGTCATTTAAGTCGTTTTATATATTATTCTTTAAATTTCTTGAAGTAAAATCACACTCCAAAAGAGTTAAAATACTGCCACTATGAAAAAAAAGTGAAAAATTTGGCACTCTTGAATAAGACTGGCAGATTTTCACTTTTTTGTTGGAATGAAATTCATTTTAAAAAAAGGAGTGAGATTTTTTTCTTTTGGAGTAAATCTCACTCCAAAAAAAAACAGTGAAAATTTGCCACTCTTATTCTAGAGTGCAATTTACCGTTTAATTTTATGATTTAAATTTATATTTTTAATGTTTTAAATAAGATAATCTAAAGTGTGTTATTTTTTTATCAAAATTGCAATGGTAAGATATTTTTATATATTAAATAATGAAACTATAATACAATAATATTGTAATTATATTTCACGCAGTAACATAATATCAAAAGAATTATTTTAACATCAAAAGAGATGTTCTTTGAAATAAACGTCATGAGTCTTTTAGAGAAAGCTCAATGTGTCTTTAATGGAAACATCGTGAACCGTATTATATCGCGACCAGTCTTATGAATTGTATTATCTCATTGTGTTGTACAAAGTAAACTGAAAGTCGCAAAAAATACAAGTAAATTGCGAAAGGACATGGCACATGAGGAAGTGCATCTTGGACGGTATCGAGATAGACATAGTGAGAAGACAATATCCTTGGAGATGATTCTTGAGAATGTTGGATGCGCGTCTGTTGTCGACATGCTGTTGACAGGCGACTCTGTCGGCAGTCTGTTGTTAGGGATTTATATGTACGTGCCAGGAAACTTTAGATAGAAGATTTCTCTCTATCTGGCGCGAGATGATCTGTGCATCTCTGACAAGTTGTTGTAACATAATACAGCATGAATAACTTCATCTTCAACATGAAACTTTATATCTTTATTTATTACCTCTGATGTGATAACTAGTTTTCCAAAGATATTTGTATTAACTGTTAATCCGCGATTAACTTATACATGTACCTACTTTGTTAATTATTTCTATTGAATATTATTGATTAAGTTTTTAGATGTCGTCTTTCGATTAGTAGTGCTAAAGAAATATTTATACACTTTACATGTCAAAAATATGAAGAGATAATACAGCGTGACAGTAAAGCCATGAAAAAAATGGAAAATTATTTTTGTTAAAAAAAAATAACAAACGTTGGGATATTTTGTATTCTAAAAGACATTTTATAATAGTGATGTAATAGAGAAAATACAATACAATACTTTTAGAATACAGAAAAGATCAGATGCTGTTATTTATATTTACATAAATTATATTGTATTATATAATATTGCAGAAATTATCATTTTTTTACTACTTGAATATTGATGAAGGAAGTATAATCTATAGGAAAAAAAACCAACTAGTAGTAGACAATACTCGTTTGCCTTGACCGCATTGCTCAATGATTAGATGCGCCACTGTGATTAACATAATTCACGTACGAGTGCTAAAAGAAACGCATGTGTTGTCTATTACATAACTTTTTAAATCCATACTATTTGTATTTATTTGTAATTAATTTTAATTTCTACTCTATTAAAATGAGTATTTTAATATTCGCTTGCTCTTATTAAAAATATAAGTTTACAAGTAAATATATGGTACTCCAATTAATATTATTGAAACATATTGTTTCCTCTTTAAATAAACTTCGATCGAACGTGTAAATAGTAAAAATAGTCGTTAAAGTTTGACAGGTATGCGCCCGAATGTAAAGTGACGTTTCCAATTTTCGTCGAAGTAATTTTGTACCGAATGCATTGGCGATTGTAACTAGCGCGACACGTAGTGCATTACACAAAGTGGTTGTTCACGTCAATAGTCGATTATTTGCTTTTGCCTTAACGTGTGTATGTCGAGACGCGAGGGATGTGAGGTGGCGCCTTCGGATTTACAATGCGTTTGATTGGACGGAAAATGTTTGCAAGCTCTTAAACGTTGAATGGCCTCGTTACGGCTACGGCAAGCGAAACGATACAAAAAAGGAATCGGGAAAAAAAAGACGATGATGATACGGATAAATGTGATATAATCGGAAGTTATATTCGTTATTAAATATTGTAAGCGCGATTAACGCGCGTAAATGTGCGAGTCATCAGTTAGAAATCTTTTTTATTCGGAAGTAAATTTGTATTATCAATATCATAATATTTTATGTAATATATTTTCCTATTTATAATATTAGGCACTGATAAAGCACGAGGATTATTTTTAAAAAAATAAAAACATTGAAAATGTGTAATTTTTTTCACATTTTGCGTTTGCAATGTAATTTGAAAGAACATACAAACATGTCAGTGTCGCGGCGAGTTAATCAAATTTTACGTACGTAATAAAGTTTGATTGTAGCACGAAAACTCTGACAGGTGTTTCGGGTTATACAAGTACAAATAACTTTATTGCTTTCTTTGTGTATGTTACATAAATATTCGTCTGGTTATAACACATTAGAGCCTACCTTCTATATCACATGTGGAAAAAAGCTGCAAAGATACTCGTCTTGGCTACGTACAAAAGATTTACAATAATTTTCGCACGCTGTGTTTGTACATGCAAACGTGACGACAAAACGTGTCATAAGTTTGTCGTATATATTTTTTCTTTACAGAGCTTTACATATGTACGTAACTTTACACGCGCTACGCGAGGCAGTGCTACAACGTTGGCTACCGATTAATATTAAAAACTAATTGATTACTATTCTACACAAAACACACGTTTTATTAATCTTCGACATTACTTAAAACGAATACTGCTTGCTACATTTTAAAAGTTGAACCTTTTAAACGTTTCTTAGACTATCGTTAATTCCTAGTCGCACTATATAAATCTGTCTAAAGCACACTATCGTAGAAATAGGCGGATAAAAAAATATTTACGTTTTTGTTCGTAATTATTATAATAAAATAATATATGATCTTCATTATATTATATACGATGACTTTTAGCATAAAAAAAGGCATAAGAGTTTAATATTCAGCTTTGTTGTTGATTATTTTCATTCCCGATTTAAACTATCTTTTTTCGAAGTATACCTAGTCTTATACATTATTTATTCTCTTCTGTAGAGAAGATAGAATTTTACAAATAATCAGAAATCGCAAATAATTGTGTTGCTGGATGTAAAAAAATAGATGTATTTTTAAATTTAAAAAATTGATAATTTTTAAATGTAAAATTTTCATGACATTTTCCTATTTTTCGATTTTCTATCTCTAATATTTCTAAATATTTTTTAGCACATTTATATTTTACGTCAAATATAGGTAAATATATTTTACAATTTATTCAAAACACGTTAATAATATTTCAGTGTAGATTTTAACATCCAATATATTAAATTCAATTTAATGTTTTTTTTCTTTTTCATTGAATTTTGTCGTAAAAATATTATTTTTTTATAAAACTGAAATATTTATTTATGATAGCTTTTTGCTTAATTTTGAGTTATTAAAATTACTAATATTGTGTCAAGTAAAAATGTATATCAAAGTCTTCCGTTCTGCAAATATTTAAGTCAACTTACTGAGCTCTTTTATCCGATGAGCGACACAAATATTTATACAGATCCAGCAGAAGTCACATATGCACAAATTGATTTGAAGTACAGTAACTTGAAACTTTTCGCGCGCGCGCGCGCGTGTGTGTGTGTGTGTGTGAGAGAGAGAGAGAGAGAGAGAGAGAGATTTCCGTCAGTGTTGAAAAGTCTTTCCCTCTTTTTTCTTGTCTAGTTGATATTCGTCTCTCGAAAAGTAAAGGCTGAATCTTATTGATGTTATTAGTTTTACGAGTTAGCATAGAACTTCAGGACTTCTGCTCTGGCAGCGTCCGCAACAGGCCCTCTACACGGGTTAGGATCCCAATTAATCCCGGGGCAGCCCAACGATTCGAAACACTTTACGAGACGATTGTTATTGGATGAACAACAGTGAACAACTGCCCAAACACATGGGGCAGGACTCTGGGCAGGTGGTCTCGGTGTTGGAGGGACAGGAAATTGTGCCACTCGTACACCTTCGCGATGCGGGTTGATTCCCTGAAAATAATCATTGAATTTTGAATTTGCATAATTAAAATTGCAAAAGTAACAATATCTTATTACGTTTCGCACATATTTGTATTTTTTTTATTTTTCTTAAAATTATCGCAATTTTCGGAGAAAATATTACAAAAAAGTGCCAAAGAGAGAGGCGATGCTGCTCAGCGTTCAGTCAATTAAGCGAAACAAAACAGAGCGACTGAAGGCTTGTTGGGGTCGAAGGGGCACGAACCCGCCGCAACTTCTCCCTGATTTAATGAAGCGCGCTTTAGTTTGGTAGCGCGAGACAATTGGCGACCACGAGATCGAATTCGTCAGTGAATAAACCGCCGGTGGACAACCGAATCGGGTTTACGCGATCGGAGTGCGGTGAAGTGTTTTGACAGACAAATGGAGGACTTACTGTAAAATCGATCTCGTTGTTGAAGCCGCCCCTCGATATCACTGGTGGCGAGACGGGCGACGTCGGCGAGGAGCCACCAGGACGGACTATTATCCTTGCGCTCACCGGCAGAGAGTTTAGTCTGGCTAGTTCTTGTCGTCTCCACTGATCGGTCTCCTTCTGTCTGTGCTCTCTCATTCTACAGTAGATGAAAATGTAGGATCGCATTTATCGGATAATTCGAATAAATAAACTCTTGCCTTGATGATACGCTTGGAATATTTCTTTAATTAAAGTCGCACTGTTCACTGTCTTTAATATATCGCGATTGTTGATATTTAAAATTTCACGCGACTGGAAAAATATCTCAGGTAGCACAAGCGAAATTTATTGCATTAAACTACAAGAAAATCTATATTAAGTTAGCAGGATCAAATCAGCAAAATCGAATTGGACCTGTTGGAATATTTAGTACTCTTTTACAAGGAAGGCGATAATATTTTTCAACTGATGAAGTAATTGGTAGTATTAAATATTAATATAAATATAAAGTAAAATAAGAATAAAAAAGAAGCATATCTGGAATTCACCATTTATATTTCTATTGCTATTTTATATTCTCATTGTATGAAATATACTCTTTACGCTATAGTTAAAAAAAAACCGCTTTTTTCAAGTTGCTGGAAAAAAACCAGGAAAATTCCCGTTTTTTTCCGAAAAATTGGTTTTTTTGGAAAAATTGCTGTTTTTGCAATATATATAACATGCTATTTAATTTTTAATATCCTTCATCAAATTAATGTGATCCAAAAAGTTATGTAATCTTATTTTTGTTAAAATTTTAATTTTTCCTTCTATTTTTATAAAATCTAATCTAACCTTCCTATGGTGCATAGCAAAGCATTATAAGTACACGACTGCGCATTGTACTGCGCAAGTGGTTACTATAGATACATCACGTAGGTTAGATCGGTTAGATTAAAAAATTTATAATTCTTTTTATTCTAAAGACTTTGTCGTGAATGTGATTCGTCTTAATCTGCACATTACAAAATGTGTTAGATTTTATTTAAATTAGATATAAGATTACAATATATTAATTCTCGTATGTTATAATATTATTAAAATAAGATAATAAACTTCGTTTATAAGCATTGAAATTAATATACAGCTAACTTTTATATTTACGTTTACAATATTACATCACTTGATGTGAAATTTATTTACTATTAAACGAAATAATTTAGAAACAAATGTAATCTTAACAACTAGTCTGAAGAGTAATTTAAGTTAATACATATAACAGTGTATGTTTCGTATATTTTATCGAATACATTATGGGACCTCAATTCTGTTAACTTATCCAAATTATTCCGCTGTGTACCCTATACGCAATTATTTTTTTTGAAAAAAGAATCGAGAACAAACGTGGTAGATTTTACAAGCACGCGTAAATTTTTCTAAAATGAATTTTTCTACCCTTGGGAAAAAAACCGAAAGAATCCGCGGAAAAATTGGAAAAATTCGGTTTTTTCCGATCCTTTAAAAGTATACTTTACGCGATTTCAATTTTATCGCAATAATACCTACCATACATGTGGAAACAATATTAGTTCCCAACAATATTAGTTCCCAATAAGGAAATAATAATAAAACAAAAATAAAACGAACAGAGACAAATGATAGAAGTAACGAACATTGAAAACTGCGAAGCGCATCAGCTCGAATAAAGTTCACTGGCGTTACGCCAAGTGAAAACTTCATTTTTGCAAAGCACGTGCCCTAAGGACCACTTACATACCTGCTCTCTTCCTGTTGTCGTCTCTCGGCTTCCAATCTTTGCCTTTCGCGCTCTGCCGCCGCTCGCCTGGCTTCTTCGACTCGCATCAAATTACTCGGAATGGGCCGGCTATCCTGTCGTCTTCTGTGCTCTGCCAAAAGACGAGGATCCTGGTGGTAGATCGGCCTAGTTTCTGGTTGTTTCGTCCTACCAATTTCGTTCCTGGATCGTTGCTTCAACATCTCCTGCCTTCTTCTCTCGGCCTGTATCCTCGCTACCTCCAGCTGCTTCCTGTTCTCCTCGTACCTCCTAGATTGCTCTCTCCTCGTTTCCTCTTCTCGCCTGGCCGCCTCCTCTCGCATCCGTTGCTGCCGTAACCGTCTCTCTTCTTCCTCCTCCCACTGTCGCCTGGCGAGTTCCTTCCGTCGCTCTTCCGCCTCGTACCTCTGCCGCCTATCCTCCTCTAACCTTCTCGCCGTCTCTTGTTGCCTCCGTCTGACTTCCTCTGGTGAGCTTCGCGGATCGATATACGTAGGCGCCGACGGTCCATGGTCTCTCCTCACTCCTGGATCGGGATATCTGTCGCGACGCCTGACTTCCTCGATCAGTCTTCGCTCCTCGAACCAGTTACGATCGGCTGTGGTCGATTGATTATCTCTCGATGGCACATTCACTGGTTGGTTTCTCCTGATGTAATCCTGTAGTTTTCTCTCTTCTTCTTGTCTTTTACGCTGCTCCTCCAGTCGTCGATGGTACTCTTCGTCATTTCTACTCACATTCATCCGCGGATCTTGGTGTTCTTCGGGTCTATAGCGTCGTTTCTCTTCTTCCGATCTTTGATCGGCATGATTGGCACTGATAGGTCGATTTCGTGTAATATATTCTCGCAATTTCTGTTCTCGCTGTTTTTCTTCTTGCTGTCGTCTTATCTCATCTTGATCGCGCTGTCTGATATCGTTCGGATGACTGACTGAATGTTCCGCGTGCATTAAATTCGATGGTTGCTGTCGCCTTCTCTCATCTTCATCCCCTTGCCTCTTCTTCTCTAGCCATTCTCTGCGACGGTCTTCTAATCTTCTTCTATCATTTTCGGAAAGATTTCTCATTGAATCTTGACGCCTTCTTGCCTCTTCTTCCCTTTTTCTTTGAGCTTCTTGCTGCGATCTGTATTGCTCCTGTCTCCTTGCTTGTTCTTCTTCCAATTGTCTTCGCTGTTCTTCCTCTCGTCTCTTCATTTCTTCATCGTAAAGTCTTCGTTTCCTTTCATCATCTTTTATGAAAGTTTTAAAGCCCGATTTTTTAAAATTTTCCTCTTGCCATTTGCTCTGTAGTTTTCTTTTAATTTCTTCTTCTTGTAATCTTCGTTCTTCTTCCTCTCGTCTTCTTAGCTCTTGCTCGTTTCTTCTGTCTGTCTCCTGCATTTGCGCTGCTTCTTGCTTTCGTCTTTCTTCCATTTGCCGTCGCATATCTTCGTTATCTATACGATGTGTTGTAATGTCCATCCTCTTACGATACTCCTCCCGTCTATTCGGCAGTCTTTGATTAGCCTGTTGCATTCGTCGCAAATACTCTTCTTCTCTTCGTTTTTGTTCAAGTAATTTCTCGTACTCTTGTCTAACATTATCGATGTTAGTATTTAATCCATGATGCTGGTCACGTCTTCTAGATGTGTCTTGATGGTATTGCATCTCGTGCTGCCTGCGACGTTCATTCACGGTCTGCAACTCGTCGCTGGACACGACACCTTCATCCTCACCGAAGCCCCAATCGATCGACCGTCTCGTTCGCTTCCGTTCGCTTCTACCGTCCGCAAATCCCTCAGTATTTGCTTTGGCAAGCCACAGCAACTGCCGACCATGACTCCTGCTGGCGCCGTTATCACCGTCCAATAAAATGGTTTCTCGCTTTGATTTGGCTTCCTCGTAATTCTTAATTTCGAGATCTGCCAGAGATCGCTTGGTCTTCTGACTAGTTATTAATTCACTAGAATTTATTGGAATGGATCCACCCAAATCTCCTCGTTCTGGTAACTTCTCTGGTCGCCTAAATTCATCCAGATGGTCAGAATTAAGATGGCTGGCATCCATATCTCCCCTATTTGGCTTGTTTCTTTTCGTGGTAGTTTCCAGTCTTTTGAGTTTGAGAAGCTCGTCCATTTCCTCATATTCTTCTTCATCGTATGACAGAACGTCGTCGAGATCCAAGGATACCGGCGACACGTTTAGCAACACGGACGGAGCTGGTACCTCGCCCTTCTCCTTGTCAGGCGCATCTATCGATCTTTTCGTCTTGTGGGACAACAACGACGCTTCGAGACCTTCGCATCCAACCTGTAGCTCCGGCACACCACCAACATCGAAGGCGTCTTTGTTGATGAAAGGAGTCTCGGTTCGTTGTTCTTCGAAAAAATTTGATTGCTTGTGATTAACGTTCGCACTTGTTATTGACTTAATTTCTGTTGTCTTTGTCTTTGAATTCAAATGACCCGTCTTTTTCGGAGCTTTGCTCTTATTTCTCAACAGTAAATTTATGGAGGGCGTGGTTGCGGTCAGTAGAGTCTTCTCTTTGGATAGATCTAGTTTGTATATTTCCATCGATCCTGGGCCTTGATCCTGAAACGTGTCGTCTGCCACAAAGGGGTCGTCTAAAAGGTCTGAAGGGGATACCTCTGCTTCGCGCGAAAGCGTTTCCGGCATCTCGTAGCCGTAATCGACTTTGTCGGCCGCGAATTCCGCGCCGGCGATATTCGGTAACCGCCTCTGCCAGCCTGAAAAGGGGTACATTCGCTTTGACGAGACAGTGTCCTTCAAGAAACCTTCAAGCTGAAAATCTCGCTCGGTATATTTGGCATTGCGAGATAGAGCTCCTGATTCTGAAAAATGTAATTAGACTTTTTTTATGTCAAAAATTAGATATACTCAGAAAATTAATTTTAACTATTGCACATTACGTAGCTGAAAATAACGGTTTAATTTAGAAATTTAATCTACGGGGGAGATTCTCTTTAAAAGATATTTAATAACGATTTCATACCCGGCTAAACTAATATAGTTGCATACTATAGTGACGTGAGTAATGCTCGACGCCAATTTATTTCTCCGAAATTCTTGCGTGCTGTTATAATATAAAGATTTATATGTGTGTGTATTACTCGAAAAATATATATCATCCATTATTCTGCTAAATAATAGCTTTCGCCCTAAAATTTTTTTTCACATTATTTGTGTAAAAAAAATTAATAATTTTTATGTATGATATTTTTGCACAGATATATCTTTTGAGTTTACTTCATTTATTTTATTAGTAAAATATTCTATTTGCTTTTTAAAATTTTTTTTTTAATTTGAAAATTAATAAAGAACACAATACTGCCCTGTAATTATTATTGTATTGACAACATAACGTATTAACACAAATCTTTAGATTTTTTATATTTCGAATATTAATATTATATTATCTTCTTATCTCAACTTAACACGAGAAATGATAATAACTATTTAAATTTATTCATATTTAATACATCAATATATATAAACGTTTCGATCTGTCATTAGATCATCTTTAGTATTCAATTTTAATTCTTATCAATTTTAACATAAATTAAGCGACAAATTCATTACGCAAATATTCTACGGCTAGATTTCGAGATTGTTATATTTTTTCTCATTAACGATTATATAACTAAAATATTCTGCATCACTTCCATAAGTACAAAACTATATCTAACATAGTTGTTCGTCAGTTATATATCATTTCATAGATTACACAAAACTTGTTACTTCCTTGAATCAAATCTCATACTTGATTGTATCATACGGAGACGGATGATTCTTTAAATTGTGTCATAACACATTGAAATTTCTCATTTTGTCCATTTACAATTAATAAAATCAAGATGAATTATATTGTAAATGGACAAAATGAGAAATTTCAATGTGTTATGACACAATTTAAAGAATCATCCGTCTCCGTATGATACAATCAAGTATGAGATTTGATTCAAGGAAGTAACAAGTTTTGTGTAATCTATGAAATGATATATAACTGACGAACAACTATGTTAGATATAGTTTTGTACTTATGGAAGTGATGCAGAATATTTTAGTTAATCGTTAATGAGAAAAAATGTAACAATTTCGAAATCTAGCCGTAGAATATTTGCGTAATGAATTTATCGCTTAATTTATGTTAAAATTGTTAAGAATTAAAATTGAATACTGAAGATGATCTGATGACAGATCGAAACGTCTATATACATATATTGATGTATTAAATATGAATAAATTTAAACTTCGCTGCTGTTGTCTAGTGTTCGTGAAATAAGCCTTTTAAATCAAATGTTTGTTTTCTTTCAATCCACGGTTCTTTTATTATTTGTGATAATAACTATATTTGAGATTGAACGCATGCTGAAAATTTTCGAACTTTTAACAATCGTGAATAGTATTTATGTGACATTGGAGTTGCACAAAGACGATGAACAAGAAGACCTTGATTCATCAGAAAGCCGGGACAAACGGATTTCCACCAGTTAGGCCGATTCGTCACGAAGCGTTTGTTCCATCTTCATTAGACAACGCGACAGAATTAAATGGTAAATTGAGTTAAATACTAAAATAGAACAATATACATTTCTATATACTTGTTGTCTTTGTCTCCTGAGAATATCAAATAGAGATATTAAAAGTATTTTATAAAATAAAATTAACATTTAAAATCATAATGCCCTTACATCTTTTCTACATATTTCTTTGTAGGTAGAGGAAGAGAAAGAAATCAGAAAGATATATTGAGAATATATTCCTAATATATTCTCAAAATGACAATCTCGTATTAGACATCAGCTCTTGAGTTGACAGCGAAACACAATATGATGCTTTATTTTGCTCAGCTTGACATAACAGTCATAGCACTGTAAAATCTGACATACCCTCTGTGGAGAGCGACCTTCGCGAGCCGATCCAAAGGTCGAGAGGTTGATCGTGGACTGGATCGTGATCCCTCCAGACTCCAGTACGGTCCCGTTGAACCCTAGCGTGTCGGCGTGGAGACACGGGGGAGTATTGATCGTGAGAGAGGCGGAGGGTGACTGCTGCTCCTCCTACCAGAACCGCCACCGTCAGCCAGACCGTGGCCAGAACCACTGTCACCCGTGGTTGCATCCTTCTGCAATCAAACGGGTGTTCCCTCGTTATTCCACCTCAGTCAAGCTCTTCACAGCATTCTGACTTACGTTACAGTGGAATTCTTAATCTCATAATTCTTTGATACGTCTGCGTTCATCGCATTTTTTTTTTACTTTTAGCTAAAGTTCTTCGATATAAAATTGTAATAGTACATAAAAGCAGAAAAGCTAATAGCACCAAAGCACTGTTTTATATTACTATTTACAGTTATGGTACAGTTATCTACAATGAACTATGAAGTAGGTACTGATATTTTCACGTGATATTTTCACGTAATAAAGTCTTTCTTTTGCCCTATACCTATGCGAATTATCTTTTAGAGAGAGGAAACAGATTTTTTTCGTAAAATAAGCTGCAATTGAAGACGAATTTCAAAGACTTACCTATATATCATTCAAACGCAAGCATGCAAACCAATGCGCTCCAAGCAGTACCACTCTCAGAATATACCGCGAAGAATAACGTATTCACTGTAACAACCATCTAACACGCGAATCTTCTTATTCCCAAAAGGGAAAGCTAGCTCGGCTCTCCCTGACTTTGAATCTCAGACAACCATCTCTCTCGTCACCCCGTTCGCGAGCTACTCCGCGGCATGTTTCAAAGGACGTCGCTTTACCGAGAAAGATGAAAGCAGGCACAAGACAGCCTGCCTGCCTGTCTACCGTGCAACTCTCGAACTACTCTTGAACTAGCCCTCTTGTCTCTTTGATTCTCGCTCCAGCTCTTCCTACACACGAATCAGCCGCTACTTTGCGAGCGACACTTGGAGCACACCTCTCTCAGCGAAGCGAGAAAACGAGAAGAACGGGGAGATAGAGAAAGGTCGATATCAACGGCGGATCGAGTGATCTTGACATACTGCCCGCGTCAGGCCGAAGTGGCTAAACTTAATACCGTGGCGAAGGAGAAGGCGAGGAAGGCCGCTCGCTAGAATCAACTCCGCGTGTGCATGACGCGCCAATTGACTTCCGCCAACTGACGTCACGTTTCTCTCTGTTTCTCTTTTCCTCTCTTTCTCTTGCTTTTCGTAGACCCGTCGGCCGAGTTGACCGAAGAATCACTGCTAATTTCGATCAAATTCAACTGGCGCGGGCGATTTTCTTCGTTTCTCGACACGCGAAATATCACGCGATGCTGAGGTATCGCGGGATTTTCAGATATTTGGAGAAGATATGTGTATTAATCATCGTTCATGATTTTTGTGATGATATAAATGACGTAATATACGGAAAATACAAATATAAAATAAATCAAAGATTAGGACGGGGATTTATTTAAATTTCCGACATATATACTATATATTATGTATTCTACTAATAATTATAATTACTAAATATATGTATATATATATATACAATGTACTCTGAAGAGTGCTTGCGTATCTATAAGGAAACTTGAAGAAGGTTTATATAAATAATTAAATTTATTATTTTATTAATTATTTATTTAAAATTATAAAATGTATAAATTATAGAATGATTATTATTTCATAATCTATAGACAAAATTGTACTTCATATGATATCAATTTTTTTATTTTCACTTAAGTGACGATAATTTTTCTAGAAAGTATTTTTTTATAGCAACAAATATAGCGAGAGATTATAGTGAGTGGTTTAGATTTTATCATTGCAGTCAGTAGATCAGCGCAAGTTATTCTTAGCTACTTATTTAGCGTCCAAAGGAAGCGCGGTTGATCGGACGCTCTATAGCAGATATAAATTCATATCATCATGAAGTCAATTAGAGCAATCATTTCTCTTTTCTTCTATTCGACAGATCTTACGCCACAATTTGCTATTAGAATAACGTATATTTTTTTTCTTATTATGCGTTTTGAATTACGATGCTATTGTGTACTAATTTATAAGCTTTATGAGATTGTTTTTTATGTGTATATACATATACCGTATATATCTCAGCGATATAGCGATTAAGCCAACTTAAGTGAGAGGAATGCGATTTCAAACAAGAATGCGTGATACATTCTCAAGCACGCGAATGAGAAAATATGAATGAGGATTTATTAGTTGCCATAAGCAAATGTGATTTAACGACGAAATATGTATATTATTCGCGGCGATACAGCGAAATATAATCATAATATATTACAGGACGATACATCAGTTTTTCCGATAACGGTATAACAAGAATAATAATCCGCTGACAATCGACAAATGCATAATTACGGGGAATGTATATATTGAAAGACATTATTGCAGACTATAATGGAGTCGACAATTATGCCTACATCAAGTGTCTCTAATTACTAGTTATTACAATATAATGCTCGATTGTGTAAGTAGAAGAGTGATTAATTAATAATGGGTCCGCGTTTGTAATTAAATAGTGGCAAACTCATGTTCCGGGCGAAACTCTACCTTGTAAACTACAATTACGTTTAGCACGAAACGAGATATATAGTGCAATTCTGCCAAAGTACTTCATTCGCTTGCATACATATTCATGCCTATACTGATATCGATTTATCTACCTCATTGCAGAATTCATACAAATATCTTTATAAGAAGTCAAAATATCGCATAAGACATTTTTACAATTTTATGCAATATTTTACTTAATGTTATTAAATAAAACGAGGACATTATGTTTCATGAGTTGATTGTGAACGAATTATTTCGTTATGTTTTACTAAGAACAAATAGTTACCTAATATCTTGGCATAAAAATATAACATTTGAAATTATTATATAAATCCGTGTATTATAAATGGTGATATTTAGCGCTAAATATGAGACATAAATACGGATTGAAGAAGTAATTTATTCCTTGAAAATAAAGCTAATTTTATATTAATTTTTCTAAGAAAATAAGCTTGCTATGTTCTTGCACAGATCTTAAATTATTATAGGAATGTTCGCGGCGTTGTGCGAACCTAATTGCACGAATTGTTGTAGACAAGGCGGATTAAAGTCTGCCAATAGTCCATACAGTTTCATTTCTCTTTTTCCCTATCTAACTCTCTACCTATCTTGCCATCTTTTTTCAATTTATCTCGTATACCCGAGGCAACGGCGACGACTGAAACGAACTTTCCTTCACATCTAACTTCTAAAGGAGAAAATCGCTACAGTCGTCTTTCTTATTGTAAATGAGGTCAGGATACGTCAAGGATTCTAAAAGTGGAAGACAAACACATGTGGAAAATACGATTTTCAACGAGTGTTACGTTAACTTTCTACTAATATATAGGTTGATTAAAGAAAGGTTTACATATTTTGAGATATACATGTAGCATTCATTAAAATTGAGAGAAAAATTTAAGAAACTTAAATTATAAAACAAATACTAATGAGCCAGTTTTTGTCATCACTATAAGAAGTGCTTTATATAGTTCTTATTGTCATACATCCCTCAGTCCTACTTGTTGTAGAGAATCACGCACTCTTATGCATATATTTAGCAGCTTTCGGATTTCCTGATAGGTATGCATTGAATATACATTCTTGCAGAGTTGATACATTATTGATAGGTATTAAATATATTAAACTCTCCACAGCTCTCTCTTTTCTCTCTCTCTCTCTCTCTCTCTCTCTCTCTCTCTCTCTAAAAAAAAATCTAAGGGATCAAGGTCTAAAATAAGGGGATTTGACAAGTCAAACTACTGGACTTTTCCAATCCACTGTCCATTAAATGTCTAAGTTAGATATTGTCAAACGATGCGTAGAAAATGGAATAGTGCCTTATTGTGCATGAACAGTATCAGTTGCCCTTAAGAGGCACTTTGATCCGCAGTTTACAGCTAGCATTTTACTTACTAATGAGGTGAACTAAAGGTTGTAAAGCATCTCTTATGGTGACAATAAAGACCCATATCTTAATAAACAATTAAAGACAATAAAGGCCTATATCTCATTTGTTTTAGGATCTATATTTGCTGTTGGGTACTATCTTTATTTTATAAATATTACCTGCTTTTAAAATATGTAATTTTTTATCACCCTGTATTTGCAATTAACTTAATGAGATGTAGAAATGCAAAATGAATGGAAATATATAGGATATTTTTTGCATTTTCCATATCTTCTGCTGCCTATGTTTTTTTCCATACATTTCCTTATAATATGGAAATGAATTGCATTGTACGTCCTTTCAATATTATTATTCATGTGTTTTTCATTTCATTGCATTTATAATTTTAATAAGAATAATATCAAGAATATGGAAGGGCAAATTAGAGTCAAATTCGAATATAATATATGTGTAACACGTTAAAAATTTTTTACATTCCGATAAATTGATATAAAAATAAAAATATAATTTAAAAAACTTAATGTTACATTGTGTTACATTACATGTTTCGGCATCATAATTGTGCTATCATCAGATGTTTATAATTCGCAGAATAGAAACGCATTAAAAAAGTCAATATTAAACGTTATAAAGGATGTATTGAATTAATCCTATAAATATATCCGCCTCTTATGTAAATCAGATGCAACACCATAGATGGAGAGTGAAAACAAATTGCTCGCAATCGGTTGGACGACCGGTTGATAGAAAATTTTTCACAATTATCTATAAGTTATAATCTTTTAGGTACAGATCTACAAGCAATTTCATAACTATGTTAAAGAACTCACCGTTATGGTCCTACATCCTTCCAACATATGATGTAGATAAGATGCGTGTCAAGTTGCTTATATCAGTCATTATAACTCCATCTGTGGTGTTGCATCTGATTTACATAAAAGGCGGATATATTTATAAGATTAGTTCAATACATCCTTTATAACGTTTATTATTGACTTTTTTAATGCGTTTCTATTCTGCGAATTATAAACATCTGATGATGGCACAATTATGCCGAAACATGTAATGTAACACAATGTAACATTAAGTTTTTTAAATTATATGAGCCGTTTATTTTGAAAGTGGCCTAAGTCCATTTTTCAATGTTTTGTTGTTGACCTTTGTAGTAGCGTGTACAACTTGAAGTTAGCTGTCATAAACAACATTTTTTTTTTTAAATGGACTTAGGTCACTTTCAAAATAAACGGCTCATATTTACAATATATTTTTATATCAATTTATTGGAATGTAAAAAATTTTTAACGTGTTACACATATATTATATTCGAACTTGACTCTAATTTGCCCTTCTATATTCTTGATATTATTGTTATTTAAAAGACCTTTGTCCTTTAATCTAATTGTTTAATAAGAATGTCTCATACGGAAACGACGATTTTGTTGAAGTATTCAAAAAGTTTAGCTATCCTGGTAGAAATGTATGCAGTTTTCCTAGACATTTATCCAGTTACTATCTAATATTACTCTATTCTCATTAGTTGTGCTAATACTGAGTAGGAAATGGACAAAAACTTGATAAAGTTTTATTCTGTCCATTTCATGAGCAGTTAGCTTGCTTATTAATCAATTTAATATTCATTATTTGATGTGTTTCTATTCAGTAACTGGATTCAGATTTATGCAACTTTTATATTCAGTAACTGCAAGCAAAGCATTATATCCTGATTGGGATCCTAAGTAGTTTTCCTTCTCAGTTACTAGACAGAAGTTGGTATAGCTGTTTAGTAACTGCTCAAAAAATGCATGAAATTTCTACCAGGGTAGATCTGAAAATAATTTTGCCGAACTATCAAAATAATTATGTAAGACGCGCTTGAGCTGATTGCTAGAATATCAAAAATTTTTGCAACATTCATCATGCTTAAATTTCCTATATAATTATTCGATGATCTAACAAAGAATTTTCAAATTAATATGTAGTAAAATTTTTAGATATTTTAACAAAATCTTTTTTGTGCAGAAATTTAAACTACTTTTTTCTTTATTTTTCTTGAATAAAAATTGAAAGATCACTAAATTCAGTGATAAA